CGACTAAAAGGGACATTCACTCCCCACCGGAGATGGCACTCCTCCCTTCGTTGGGGGGGAGAGGCGCTGGGGGGGGGGGGGGGGCCACCGGTAGCGTTCGTAAGAGATCCTGGTGCCCTTCCCCAATGCGCCGTGGCCGGCCACCGTGAGATTTTAGTGGGTGTTCCCCTTGATATCAAATCAAGGGGCGAGTCCCACACTACCCCCTCCTTATGAGGGGGCGTGCGTAAACGCATTTCCTCACGTAAAAAAAGAAATGGATGTTTAACCCACATTTGAATCACGCGCGACCGTACACGCGATCTTCTTTCCACTTCTACTTTTTATGTTATATACGGTTAGTTCGTTTTTCAGTTCCTTCTTTTCTATTATCATTCAAACATTATAAGTAGTATTTAAGTTTATATGTATCCATATATATTTAATAAACATGTTTAATCCTAACCCAACACGGTTATAGGCCCAGGTCAGCGATACCACTGCGCAAATATGATTGGGGAATATATGTATATGGAAGTATGTATACTTGCCGTCACCAGAGTCCATACTTGCTTCGCGCAGGTTAGAAGGTAGTGGGGGGGAACTTATCGAAACTCGAGAATCCCACTCCACGGATTCCTAACCCCCTTTCTTGACTGTGATCAATATACGGAGTAAAACAAAAGTACGGTGAAATGAATGGAATTCATGGAATATGAAAGGAACAGTGTTTAATATATACAACGCCTCAAATGGTCGACTTTGGTGTCAGGGACACCGTGTCACCACAGCACAACACGCTACGCGCATGCGCGTGGGTGTGGGAGTGGGAATATGAGGGCACCAATCAGAGCAACGATGCGCAAGAAAGAATAAAAACTGGTCCTCCAGCAGGTATGGACTCTGGTGACGGCAACTATATAAAGAATGTATGCCACGTGAAAAAAAAAGTGAGGTTATGTAAGAGCCGCCACGTGTTCGAAAGTAAATAAAATATAATAAGTATGGCAAGTTCAACGCAATCGATCGATCGAATCGATAAATTAAATGGCAATAATTATAGAACTTGGAAATTTAATATGAAAATGGCTTTAATTCAACGAGAATTGTGGCAACATGTAACCGGCGAAGTCGTTGAACCAAAAGATGATGAAGCCGATGAGTTGAAAGAAAACTATAAAAGAAAAGAAGAAAAAGCGTTAGCAGCTATCGCATTAAGTATTGAAAGTGAACATCAGATCCATATAATGGATTGCGTAAAAGCGTCGGATGCGTAGGAAACATTACAAAAGGTTTTTGAACCTAAATCAAGACCAAGAATTTTACAATTGAAAAAGCAAATGGTTTCGATTCGTTTGGAACATGATGAATCGATGAATTCATATTTAGCGAGACTAAAAACATGTAGTGACAGTCTCAAGGAAGCTGGACATGATATATCCGATGACGACTTGCCATACGCAATGCTATGTGGATTTCCAAGCAGTTACGGAGGCATTATAATGGCATTGGCGAATCTGGACGACTCAAAATTCAAATCATCAGAAATAAAATCAATTCTATTAAGTGAGTATGAAAGAAGAGAAGTAAAGGAAACGAGGCAAAGGAGGCATACCACAACACAAAGGAGGCACCACGTAGATTGTATGAGCATAAAAGAGAACATGACCACAGAAAAGAAAATAGGAAATGATTTAATTGTGGTAAACAAGGACATACAGCGAATTATTATAGACATAAGGTACAAAATGTAAAGCATAATCCTCCAAACCAGCGTAAGTACAAAGATTCATTTCTATTAGAATTAAACAACGTGCAATTAGACGATTCTTGGCTGATAGATAGCGGTGCTACGCACCACATTTGTGAACTTAAACATTGGTTCTCAAATTATAGAAATATAACGAGCGAGATAATTTATACAGCTAATAGCAATGGAGAAAATGATCTCAAAGCAATAGGTATAGGCGATATTATAATAGAAACATATGTAAATCATAATGTATTCAGTATAACCCTACATGATGTATATCATGTTCCTAACGTTAGGAGAAATTTGTTATCCGTGTCTCAAATAGAATGTAAACAAAAGCATTTAGTTATAGATAATCACAGGTTACGAATAGTGAATAAGAAAACTAATATGATAGTGGGGGAGGCTATTTGTAAGAACGGATTATATATTGTCAAGACAAGAGTTATTGAGAATTGTGTAAACCGGGTTGAGATGCATATTGCTAGCAATAAATTAGAAGAAAGCGAAAAAAGGCACCAAAGATTTTGCCACGTAAGTATGCGAAGTATTCAAGAATTAGCAAGTAAAGAGCTGGTTAGAGGATTAGAAAAGGTCAATATTAAGGATGTACATTGCAATAGTTGTAGTATTAGTAAATCGGTAAAAGCGCCATGTAAAAGTATTGGTGGTAGACAAACTAAAGCAGTATTAGAATTGGTACACTCAGACTTATGCGGACCCCTACCAGTAAAATCCCTAGGCGGTGTGAGATATTTTCTTACACTCACGAATGATTATTCAAGAAAAATTACGGTATTTACTTTGAAAAGCAAAGATGAAATAGTAAAATATATAAAGAAGTATATAGCCAGAGTTGAAAGAGAAACAGATAGAAAAATAAAAGGAGTAAGAACAGATAACGGTTTAGAATTCTGTAACAAGGAACTAATGACATTGTTTGATAGTATAGGAATTAAACACAAGCGTACAAACACGTATACGCCTCAAATGAACGGAGTAGCAAAAAGGGTAAATAGGACACTTATGAACCTCGTTCGTGCATGTTAAAATCAGCGAGATTACCTGAGAAATTCTGGGCGGAAGCACTACTGACCGCATGCTACATTAAAAATAGAGTTACACATTCCGCAATTGATGATAACACCCCAGAAGGCGTGTGGACTGGGAATAAACCCAGCGTAAAACATTTAAAAACATATGGGTGTTTGGCATATGCACACCTCCCACAGATGAGTAAAAGTAAGCTTAGTCATAGAGCTAATGAATGTGTATTCGTAGGATATTCATCACTAACTAAAGGATATAGGCTATATGATCCCATCAAGGATGATATAATACATACAAAACATGTAGAATTTGTAGAAGATTTGAGCGGGTTTGAATATATATATATGGAAAAAGGACATATGAAATACCAGCTTATGAAGAGATTACCGATGATACGATAGAAGAACTCGATACAGAGGAAAAGAAAGAGGAATTTGAGGAAAAGCAAATCTGCAAGATAGATATCCCAAAAGCAATCGAAGAATCAGAAACAGAATCTAACGTAGAAACGTTTGAAGACAAAAGTCGTATTCACACACCACAACGAGGAAAAGTCATAAGAAACCCGTGAGGATGAAAAGGTAAACCCAAAAATATTGAAACCAATCTCACCGAAATAATTGAGCCAAGGACATTTGAACAAGCGATCACATTACCACAATGCGAAGAATGGAAGAATGCCATGAACGAAGAACTACAAAACCTAGAACGAAGAGATACTTAGGAAATAGTAGATAAGGTTGAAGGTATGAAATGTGTTGGCAGTAAATGGGTATATAAGGTAAAAACAGATTCCGCAGGTAAAGTTGTGCGATATAAGGCGCGACTAGTAGCACAAGGGTACAATCAGAAAAGAAACAGATTATTTTGAGTCATATGCACCAGTAACGAATATTACACAGTAATTAGAATGATACACTCGATTCATTTCTCATTGAAAACGGTTTGCAAAGATTAAAAACAAATAATTGCGTTTATGTATATAAAAGGGATCTTATATTAGCAATCTATGTTGACGATATTATATTATTCGCGAAGAATGTAGATACATTAGAACAAGTTAAAATATTATTAATGTCAAAATACGAAGTTAGAGACTTAGGAAAGGTATCTTAGCTATTAGGTATAAGCATAAACCACACGGATTATCATATGAAGTTGTCGCAAGACAGATATATAGAAAAACTCCTAGATGAGTACAATATGATCGAATGCAAACCATCTAAAACGCCTATCGAATTAGGCATAACATTGTCAACGCGCGATAGTCCTACAAGTGAAGAGAAAAACTAGAAATGAAAAATGTACCATACAGACAATATATTGGATCCCTGATGTATATAGCGTGCGCAACGCGCCCGGACATCATGTACGCAGCAACGAAGTTGGTACAATTTGTGTCAAATCCAGGGAAAGCACACTGGATGCAAGCAAGAAGAGTATTACGGTGTCTGCATGCAACGAAAGAAAAGGGTTTACTATACAGCCAAGGGATTGATGAAGTAGAAATGTACAGCGATGCAGATTGGGCAACGGATACGAATGATAGGCACTCCCATAGCGGAATGGTACTATTTTTAGGAGGCAATCCAATAAATTGGAGATTTAGTAAATAAAAATCAATCTCGACTTCCACAATGGAAGCAGAATATGTAGCACTAGAGAACGTTTTAAAAGAACTAATGTGGATGAACATGTTATTTAAGGAGTTACAAAATTTGTTGAACATAGATGTTCCACGTGAACCTTACATGATTAGGTGTGATAACAAATCAGCCATTGATTTTACGCTAAATAGAGTTGAGCGATCCAAATCTAAACATATAGATATTGCGTACCACATAACAAGAGAAAAATACGAAGAAGGCTTGACACAATTAAAATATGTTCCTTCTAGCGATAATGTAGCAGATATATTTACTAAGGCGTTACCACACAATGTAATAAGCGTTCACGTAGAAAAATTTAAATTATATTAATATAGAATGTAAGAGATTCAAATGTGTTCTAAAAGTGGGGGATTGATGGGTGTTTAGCCCACATTTGTATCACGCGCGACCGTACACGCAATCTTCTTTCCACTTCTACTTCTTATGTTATATACTATATATACGGTTAGTTCGTTTTTCAGTTCTTTCTCTTCTATTATCATTCAAACATTATAAGTAGTATTTAAGTTTATATGTATCCATATATATTTAATAAATATGTTTAATCATAACCCAACAGAAATTTATAACCGATTGGATAGTAATTAAATTTTGTTTCAAACATTTTTTCGTCAAGTTGAAGAAAATGCCAAATATCGATTGTCACCAGAGTAGTAAGTGGGCCAGCATTCAGAAGCGGAGCGAGGACCTGCACCCGTACGTGGTCAGACCAGACCGGACTCCAATTTAACGTGGGCTGACCACTACGGGCGCAGGGTCTCGTGCCACTTTTGAATGCCGTTTCCGATCGGCCTACTTACTAGTCTTTCAAATCTGCTCCGATTTGACAATGAAAGCGTGATTCAAAAAATTTGATTTTTGGGGGATCTGTAAATAATGCATTCGCGCGTCAAAATCCGTGAATGACGTTAACGTGGGGTTACTCGTTCATCCTGAAGATGGGCTTGAAGTTGGAAGCGAGTTTTTAAAAAAATCGACATTTTCGTATTTTATTGCCATTCACGCGAAAAAAAGACATTAAAACTGTGTCGCCCCAATGCCTTAGACAGTACCACATGTGTTCCAAGCAACGAAACATCGTTCCAACCCTTACGCTTTGAGGTGGACCACCCCTACCTCTGCCCCCCTCCCTTCAGCTCTGGGGGTAGTTTTCGAAATGGGACCTTTTCGGCATTCATCCTTAACCTATCAAGAACAAACGTGGCGAATTTCATCGTCCTCCGATGTGTGGACGTACTCCCATATGAAGGGGGTTGAAAATTTCCGAGCTGTTCCATCCCCCAAAGGGTGCCTATGGGGTGCACGGTATGGGCGTTGGCATTTTCTGGATCAGGGAAGTCCAGAGAATGCATTGAGTCCAAAATCGTCCAAAAATTGTGGATTTTAGAGGGGGTGGGAGGTTGTGGTGGGTGGGTTTGTCTGAGAGGGATTTCAAGAGGTGATTTTGTAGAGGGCATCAAGGAGAGTCGCCCAAAGGTTTTTTGAATTTTTCAACCCCTTCCGTCATCCCTGGCTTATTTCAAAGAGGCGTTTTTCTACGCCCTCCCCTTTAGGGAGGTGAATTAGCCCCTTCGCGTCAACCCTCGCCAATGCAACTTTACACACGCCTAGGGGACACTTCAAAAATACTCCTCACGCAGTTTCATTTCAATCAGTTGAAAACTCCCATAGTTACGACGGTTTGAAAAAGTGTCCCGTTAATTGTTGGTAGTAGCATATATAGGTGTTACATAATTTCTAAATTCTTATCGAACATTGTTTGAAAAAGTTGTAAATCATTTCCAGACCTTTCATATCGGGTTTAAACAGGAAGGAACTAATGCAAAGAGGGAAACAGTACTTGCTTTTAAGCAGATTTGTTTTCGTTTGATTTCGTTTGATTTGATTTCGTTTTCATAGTCTGGGCACTACCATATAATATGATTCAGGTCTTGGATTTCTGCTCCACATTGATAAGCACTGTTAGTTATAATGGTAACCATGGCCAATGAGCAATTCAAATTATAGTGGTTGGCTCGACATCTATTAACGAAAACTAAAAAATTTCTGGAAAGATTAAGTCCAGTGTACCATGGATTGTCGTTATCTTTGTGGTAAAATCTGACATAGTTGGATCATAAATCGGATCACCGCTCAGCGATATTTCATAGTCAAAATTAAAAATATCTTTAAATCGATATTTTTCAAAGAAACTAAAGTTTTCATGATATAACCTTTAACCAGACCTTGCTCTTTGATTAGGGTGTTAGTGAACAATCTTGGTTGAATTTTTAGTTGCCTGGTTAGATCAGTAATCGAAGTCTTGAGTATCATACTTTATAATTATATTCTCCTAATAGATCTGGGTACTGAGTAATTAACAAACAAATCTTTACTTTTTGATTTCGAAAGAAATTGGAATATTTTTTTCTTAAAATTTAAAGGCAAGTTACACACATGCAAATTTTTGTATTCGTGGTATAGTTAATATAAAGCATACCGTGACAACTTTGAATTTTGAAATGTACAGTTACGTTTTTCGCTGTCTGCCACTGGATCGCAGGTCACGTAAAAATACGTATTTAGTAGATTTGTGCCCGCTGCACACGTAAGTCCGCGTTAATCCACTCTTTTTTATACTATCATTTTTGTTTCATTTACTTCTTTTTCTATTCTTCATGTGCTGTGACTATTTCTTAAAATAGAATTAATAGAGAAAAGTGACCAAAGTCAGACCCTCAATTGATTTTTTTCTCGTATAACTTTCTTAATATTAACGGTAAAATTAAATTTTCAGAGATTAAAGATTCGATTTTTGATTTTTAATAAAATGACTAAAAGCCTGTTTTGACAGAATTTGTTTGATTAGGATTTGGGGAGAAGGGCATTAAACACTAGTAAATGCTTTGATTAAATATACAACAAATTTTTAAACTTATTCTTTTCGAAAATAAAGCATCATGTGACAAACTTTTATTCTACATTTTCGATTCAATTTTTCACGTAATATCTATCACCCCCTACTCGCTTGTGGTACCAAGCTAATGTGTTAATATATTGTGTACTGTAATCATTAATAATAGCACAGATTTCTTATTGCAAAAGAATGGTCTTCCTTAAAAAAAATAAATGAAATTAAAATATTCAGTAGGGCTACCGGACACCTCAAAACTGATATGCAGTTTCCTCAGATTTTATTATTAAATTACATTAATTCCATCATTTTAGAAGACCGATGGACATTTTAGGAAACAATGCTAATTGATAATGTAAAAAACAATGTCAAATGATAATCTGGAAATAAATCGGATCACCGCTCAGCGATATTTCATAGTCAAAATTAAAAATATCTTTAAATCGATATTTTTCAAAGAAACTAAAGTTTTCATGATATAATTCGACTATGTGCAGGAACATATTTCAAGAAGATAATTTTACACAAAAAAGAGAAATTCTGTAGTCAAAATTAAAAACACATTTTTTTCAATTACTTGACCAAATTTTCGTTTTTAGGACAAAACTCTATTATTTATATATTTGCTATCACGTTCAAAAAAGTATGGTTATTTCATATACAAATGAATATTAACGATTGCGTCACAATACTACCTAACACATTATGTAGAGTATTATCTGGCAAAATTAAGAAAACAATAAATTATAGGAATGGAGGCAAATACAGAGAAAGATGCTTGGCGATAAAAACAAATTAATTTAAAACAAGAAGAATAAAGCGAAATTACAAGAAAAAAAGCTTTCTGCTGAATATGAAACTCCATAAGAAACTTCAAAGAAGTAAAAAAATTACGCTAAGTACATGAAAAAGTGGAGGACTTAAGGAGTAGTCATAGAAAAATAGAAGATCCCTATAAAATACTACAAGAAACGGTTTCTGGCAGATTCATGACATGATATTACGATGTCTCAGTTGTACGTGGACCGATTTTATTGATTTTGATTTTATTTGAAAGCTTATATGCGGTTTACATAAGAAAAATGCCTTTAAATTTAGAAAATATTGCAGGGGCGTTAAGATATTCATGAAAGAAGTTTCAGGTTAGATTGGAATGGACCATTTCTTCTGTAAAAGGAGAAATGGTGGTACGTGGTAGCTCCAACGCCAGGTATATATACGCGGTGACGTATAATTTTTCATGTACTTGGTGTCGCTACCGCGTCTCTAAATAACAAAAGATGAAAAATATAAGCTTTCATTTAATTTCTTCTTTGTTGTTGAAGATAGAAGAAAGTTCTGTAACTTCTCCACATAAAACGTAATCTCTTTAAGATTTATTTGAAATATTTAAAAAAATATTAATAATAAAAGAAATAGGCCAAGACTTAGAACGAAAGGCAGTAGTAAAATACTTTGTAGTGTATTTGTTAAAATCCACGTAAAATTAAAAGTAGCAGGAAGTAGCAGCTGAAATTTATACGAGCACCTGAAGAATAGTTTAAGCTTTTATACAGGATGTCCCAAAACTCGGGGAGGAGCCGGAAATGGGGGGTAGCTGAGACGATTCTGAACAACAATTTCCTTCGCAAAAATGTCGGATGGGGCTTCGTTAAGGAGATATTAAGCGAAAACCCCGACCAATCAGAGCGCGCGTAGACCGTTGGAGCGGCCGCGGTAGCGTAGGCTACGCGCTTGCACGCGAACAAGTGACTCGACGTGCATCGAAACATCGACCTAGCGCGTAGCCTTCGCTACCGCGGCCGCTCCAACGGTCTACGCGCGCTCTAATTGGTCGGGGTTTTCGCTTAATATCTCCTTAACGAAGCCCCATCCGACATTTTTGCAAAGGAAATTGTTGTTCAGAATCGTCTCAGCTACCCCCCATTTCCGGCTCCTCCCCGAGTTTTGGGACACCCTGTATACAAAAATCCGAATGTTAGTCTTGAACGTTTTTCTAAAACTCTTCTCAAAGGTTTAATTGTTACAAGCTTGTACTATTGTTATATGAATTAAAAAGTAGTACGTAATTAACTATTTACTATTCCGTAATCAAAATAGACATACTCATACGTATAAAATGCAATACTCGCCAGTATTTTAACGTTGTATAACGAATATTTAAATAATTAGTTGTACCGTTAACTCACGATTCTCTCTATAAAACGTTGTTTCATATAATAGAATTATCTGAAAAGCTTAATATGTTTCCATTTCAAATTTTTTTAAAGTTTTTTTTACGATGAAAATAAAATGTTAAATAATCAAGTTGAAAAATTGAATTTTGGTTACGAAATGCCGCTTTCCCCAATAGGGTGCACCATGTATTGGGGCATGAACAGATAATCTAGCGTCGATCCATAGCAGATCCACTGCCGCATCACTTGACATGTTAACCCTTTACACTCGAGGCCTTTTTGGCTTGTGCGCACCAGCAATTCCGGACGATTTCGACCAAATTCGGCAAACACTTTACAAATACTTTAAAAACAATTATAAACAAACAAACATATACAAATAATAAAATTCCACCAGTTTATTCATTTATATGTCGAAAACAACATACTTCGATGAATATTACACTCTGTAATTAGTTTTAGTGCGATATTTTGGAAAACAATATCCAAGTTGCATCCTAGGTTTATCAGGACACGTATCACAGTAATACGAAATTTCTCGGCTACCTCCAGGCGTGTTACAGTCAGAACAAACCTTGCAGTCCCTTTTTGGCCCTTTTAGTATTACGTGAAGCTTCGCGTTTAGTCGGATTTCATCGGAACGCGACGTAGACGCTTGCTCTCGTTGCTGGCGATATAATCCTCTCAATTGTTCGACAAGTGTTTTCAGAAATCGCAGATGGCTCAGTGGCTTTTCCTCTTTTTTGGTCTTTTCTAGTTTATACAAAATGTATGAATTGATCAGGGAAATATCCATGCCCCAAAAGAAAGCATTCGCAACCATTTAAGACTTCAGATCACTCGGGCGCCGCCGCAGCGCCGCTCGAGTTGACAGTTCAAATCGGTCGGGTGCCGTATCGGCGCCGCTCGAGTGCAAAGGGTTAATACAGGTATATCCTTAAATTATTCCTAAATATTTCGATGACCACGAATAATACGTTGGGCGATTCTGTAAGTATGTCTTTCTCCCGGCGTTCTTCCAGCACGTAGGCTACCGAGTAACCGGTTGTTATTTAGTCGCTTATTTATTTTTGCATAGATAATCCACAAGAGATGCGAAACGAGATTTGGGTGGAGCGCATACGCCTTGAGTCACGTGTGATTAAACGATGTTATCCGCGATTCTCGGTGCCGTCGCACCTGTATGCCTATGGAATGCCTACGTCGTGCCTTGTTTGACTTTTTTACGCCTCCCCTTGCTTCTCCCGTCATTTCTTCAACCCTGGAGCTGCATCGGAGGATTGACGGTCGGCGGAGATTGTTTTTGGCCGCGAGAAAAGGACACGGAATTTTCCTTTACATTCAAAGGATTTGCGATAGCGACAAGCAGGTGATCCATTGTCTGGAAGAAATTACATACGGCGATAAAACTATTCGATAAAGGGACCACGAAAAATTAATAATGGATATTGTTGCGCCGGTTGTTCACGTGCACACCTGCTACGTGCCCGGCCTCGTGTAATAGAGAAACTGCTCACGGGGCTTCGAGAGCATATTATTCTCGTTCTGATGTGCATGCATGTCAGGGTCTCGCGTGTACAATTAAGAAAAAAAGTCTGCGAAAACGCGTTGCAATAACTGCGCGGCGGTAATGCCGGGGCGTATTTATAATTGCGCTTTCTGTCTTACAGCGGTTGATAGCGGTTCCATACAGAGAAAACAAGTGCAACGAGAACGGGAAGCCGCCGTGACTCCATAGGTGCTCGCCATTTCATTGGACCATTATCCTGTTTGCGCGTACAGACGGCGCAAACGGAGTAAAAGAACTTGTGGAAAGATAGAGAGAAACTCGGACGGGAAGTACAACACGGTTGAGAAAGACAATGCGGTGAAACAAGTCTGAATTCTAAATAAATATGCGCTACATAACGTCTGCCTAGCTAGCCCCCCCAACTTACATAAAATTTAAGGAAAAAATTACATAATAATGTGCTATTTATGCGCTCTTCAAATCCGTAAGAAAAAAATTTTGCGCTCGCTCCGTTTAAAATTTAAAATTTAAATTTATTTAAATGGGAGGGCTGAGTAGGCTGCCAGTCAGCCCCTCCCCCACACACATATTAATGATAAGCAATATTGACAGAGAAACATGCAGGAATTATGCGTTAATTATGCGTTATCGTATAAGAGCAACTTCGATTTTTACGCTCCATCCCTTAAGGGATTTCCCTCTTGGTGCAAATGCCGTTCCTACCGCAGTCTCTTCGTATCGGTTTCAAGAGACACGGTTTAACCAGTAGCATTTTAAGTGCGGCCGAGAGTCCCTACTATGGTTCCTCGTCTCGCAGATTTTCTTGTACCGAAAATCAGTAAACTTTTACGGGTAATATCTTAAAAACTATTTGTAAAAGGGTGTTTACATTAAACTTGCTGAATTCGTCTTGAAACGTACTATCTATTGATCAAACAAAAATTATATAATCCCATTTGAAAAACCAAACGTAACTTTTATATCTCTGTAAACAATAATGATAACAAAAAATTGTTACGGCCAATAAATCGGCCCCCTCTTGCCATTCAATTTCATATCAGAAACTTTTTTCGTATCTTTAATAGGTTACGAAATAATCGACTGTCCAGGATTTCGTGGGACATACTGTATATGAAGTTTGATCCAAAAGTATACGGCCTAAAAATAAGGAAGATAGAAGATTTCTCACTTAAGGGCGACCTTAATAAATGCCTCTGTCAAATGGTACGGCTCTGCAGATACTTTATCAACAGTGGCATATAATTGTTTAAGGGTTGAAAACCGAAAACGTCGCATTGTACAATAACTAAACGCGTAAAATAGCAAATATGCATTTAATTTATAATGACGAATCGACGAGTAATACACAAATAAATGAATCGTTTGGACAATCAAAAGTAGTCGTATTACAGTGAAAAGTAGTTTCCGATCTAACAGACTTACTAATCGAAAATATAGAACATGTGAGAAATGCAATTAATGAAAATCATACAAAATTAGACTGTGCAAGACTGTGGAATTTTAATCAAAAATTTACGAAAGGAGAAACGGCCTGCGTTGTGGAAAAGCAATACTTGGATGCTTCACTATGATAACGCACCTGCTCATTGATTGCAATTTATCCAGCAATTTCTGATGAAATATAATCAAACTACTTACATCAGCCTCCTTACAGTCACGACCCGACTCTCTACGACTGTTACTTGCTCCCCAAATTAAAACGATTTAAAGATGTCAAAAGCATCCAATAAACTTCTTCATTAAAGATATTTTTTGAAAATATCTCGAGATCTAATCATTTTTTTTGCCATGGTACCCTAATCATTTTTTACGTAGAATGAACAGAAGAATCGATCTGTGTAAACAAAATTATGCATTTCTATTTAAAGAAATGATGCATTTGGTAATTGCATATGCACTGCTGCATCTAAATTTAAAGGCCTACAGATGTACTGCTCTTCGAACGATTTATCTTTCTCCTTTGGCATTTTTTCGTTAATGCAATAATAACCGAGTTATGGCTTGATACAATTGCGTGGGCCACCCTGTATACACCGTGTATACCATTTTGTTTTATAACATTTTTCGTTCGATAACAAATATTTCTTACTGTATGTTTCTGTTAGTAAAAAAATTCAAATAGGTGATTTTCTATTTATAAAATTTTGAATGTAATGGTGAATGTGTCTGGAGAATATAGTTGGCAAAACATTCTAACTAAACTCCAATAATCTTTGTGGTGTCGTTAAAAATGCATCGTCCGTTATCGTGATGAAAAACAATTCTTTTTCTTCTTGCGAGTGATGACAATAATGACAAACTTCGACAACTTCTTTTACAAGATACAAGTATAACTGCTTTTAATTGATCTAGTTGTGAACAGTATTTTTCTTTAATAACCGTTTGTTTGTGTGGTAAATATTCGTAATAAAGTACTCCTTTGTAATCCTACTAAACAGATAGCAAAACCTTTTTACAGTCCAATTCGTCTATGACGATGTTTAATGGCGATTCTTCTGGCTTAGACTAATGTTTTTTCTGACCACGTTATCAAAAATTCGCAGAATTAATCATCAATCGTCATACACCAACCAACAATTATGAAGCATCAATCATCAAAATAAATTACAAATCAACAACCATCAATCATCTAAAATGATGCATGATTAGTGATAAATGATTCATGCCTAAGCACTTTTGTCTGTAACTGTAAATGTTTGTGTTATTTTTTTTAACAACTCATAAACTTCATAACTGTTATATATTCACAAATACTTTCGTAAATTAATCTGTTTTTTTTTTATTATAAAAATATACATAAAAATGAACCAATTAGATCAATAAATTATCATATACGGGCTTTTTGTCTTCTATATATTTTTGGTAACTATAGATAGCCTTCCTATGTATAACATTGTGAAATGTATCACCTATGTAAAGCAAGACATCAGTATACCAAAGTTTTTACTATGCATTTACTTTGTTTTATTGGTGCTTTAAGAGGCTCTGCTTCCTTTTATGATTTGACTGATTGACGATCGTTTTAACCCACAGGTACAACACGCACCTTCGATAACTCAAGGTATCGTCCATGTTAAATTAAGAGGAGGCCACGCTCGATTAATTCGAGCGATCGAGAAGCGCGTTCGTTCTCGTTAGTTATCGGAGTACACAGGCAACCGATACGGGAATCGGCTGTCACCGGCGTCGAGAATGGAAGTAACCGAGGCCGGGCGTATCTCGTGATTCAGTAGCTTCTTACCGAACCAAGTAATGCAGTACTCGTGTACCGACGTCGATACACAGGACATTGGGCGTCGTTTTGCTCGCGTGTAAATACCGCTGAATAAGAAAACCGCTATCTGGGCTTTCCATGCCAATATCAGTTCCGGCCAAGCGGTGCCAAGATCGGTCTGCCATCAGTGCCCAGGCTCGCCGATGCCGATACTTTTGACCAGTCAGCGGGGTGCTCTGGAACGGGAGCTCGATTCGACTCGTTGCTCAACTAACACGTGGCGTATCCAAACGAACGCGTGTAACTGTATCGCGCAACGGGCCATTGTACTTTCACGATGTCAGATCAAAATCTATTGACCGGACCAGACTAACAATTAATTTTTTTCACGCATTGCGAGCAACGTTAATCGACTGGCCCAGTTCTGCAAGGGACTCACTAAGAACGCGACCAAATTAATGCAACCACTGATGATATATTTATTATTATTGTCAACATTGATGTTATCATTATCGCTATTATTATTACAACCATTACTATTGTTATCATTATTGTTATAATCAGCAGGTGTTGAAAGAAAAGAAAGCACCGGATTACACTGACAAAAAGATATATTTAAGAATGTAATGTTTGACTATAAAAACTGTCCGTTTAGAATTGTATAAATCGAAACGAAAGAAGATAAGACCAGTAAGTTTATTGGTGGTATTCGTAACAAAGGAACTAAATGATAGAGTTATCAACACATACAATTCACTATTTATAATGATTATCGTTATTGTTATTATTGTTAACATGGTTGTTGTCGATGGAGTTAGAGAAGAAAGTATAATAATTTGGATAAAAAATGCAGATGTCTTTGTAGCACGCTATCTGAATTAATCTTGAGAACTAAATATAACAGGAATTTCCAGAACAGAATGGATCTACATATACGAATTTTTCAGATATCTATTTGTTAAAGAATGATGACAAAATTTATTAAAACTTTTTAAGAAATAAAATGATAAAGGTTGGACTCATGAAGAATGTGTGAGTATAAATCTATCATATTGCAAATTAATTTACAATTCAACTCGGTATAAGATCATTCAAAATTATTAACAGAAAGATGAGAACTTGCAAAAACCATTCGTAGAACGAGAAATTGTCATTCATTTCTATCGACAGACATAATATCCTATTTATTAGGTAACAATTCAAATAGTAAAAAATAAAAAATTGTTAAAATTATCAAATAAATAGTAATATTATTAGTGATTCGTTCAATCAAATGACCATTATGATGTGATAGAATATTTCTTTAATAACCTAATCCTGTCAAACTCCATCTTATTCCGTATCGCATCCTATTTTCAACAACAAGTGCCATTAACAAAGTGTGAGATTTTAATATCTATTAGCTGTATTAGTCCTTGCAGCGATCACAGGTCCTACGGAACAATCGCAGACACGGCTGAGCCTGGCGCGCGCCACTTCGAGCTGACGCGGTTCCCTGAGCGTTCACTCGAATCGCTTCAATAAATTTTAATTCAGCCAATTTCAATTGGCTCCATCTTTTTAGAGGTAACACCAGAAAGAGGAAAAATGAGGCTATAAACTCGTTTCTTCAGATTTTTAAATACATGCCCGGTGTAAAAACAAGGCATTTGTTTCAACAATTAAAAAAGAAAATGGTTCAAAAAACTTCTTTTTGTTCTAAAATAATTTTTATTTGATACTTTCATGTCTTCACTATAAGCACGTAAAAGGTCATTTTCATCCGTTGCCTATGTTACGTATACAGAAACTCTCCGTTTTTAGAAGCTCGCGTTTATTAGTTTTATTTTATCTACCCTTCTGGAATTTGGAGCTCGGTCTCACGGGAGTGCATCCTGCAGCTGCATCCTCTTAATATCATCTTTGACACGCGCTGCGTGGGATAGTTTCTAATCTACCCTTTTCCCAGGGCACACAGCTGCCGACCTCAGAGCAACGAAAATCCTAACCGTCAAATTTCCTAATATGGAAATCACTGACGGTTCCCCACCAACATTTAGGGGTATATAAACCCATGATTTTCGTTGCTCGGGGGCTAGTACGAAAGAGTTACTCGTTAGAGACACATTGATCGTCTGCAGAGTAGTACTCTAGTGAGATCGGGCTTCAGTTCCTTTCGATCATCGTTACCATATAGATCCGCGAAGACGGTTTTAGAATCTATTACGGCCATAAAAGTACTCTCGACCCCCGCATCGCCAGTGGGTCAACACCGCGCAACACTTAGGTAATTTTAA